ATCCGGTCGGCAGAGGCCGCTCTTTTGTGTTGGAGTGTCCGGCTGCCACTGAGGTCCCACTTGAACTAGTTGGCTCTTGGCATTCCGAGTTTGCTAGGATGATCAAAATTGCTACGGACATGGCCCCTACAGATGAATTCCAACACGGAGATGGCTTGCAATCACAAGTGAGGCACAAACCCTCTCGTTTCCCAAGACCGCGCAGACTTCTTGTCCGATCATGCACTAGACAGTAATAGAATTATCGATAGGGTTTAGGGTTTAGGTTTCAGGGTTCAGGGTTTAGGGTCTAGGCTTCAGGGTTTAGGGATTAGGATTTTGGGTTGAGGCTCTCATATTTCCAGAGCGGCAGTACTTTCACTAGGAGTCTCGTGACCGAACCGACAAGAATGCATGAAAGCAAACACTAGAAGGACCGTGGGACGATAGTCGTTGTTCCTTCCTTTCCCCGTGATTCGGCCAGGAACGACGTTCATGCTTCAAGCTCTGGTGTTGTTATGATACCGATGACGCCTGCAGCATAACATGGAAGCAAGCGTTTGCTGCTTAAGGTTTCTAGGCTCTCATGGACACTCGCTCGCTCAGCTCTCGGGTTTCTGTCCCCGTACATGTTCATTCCTCCAGCTCGATTTTTCTGAACATGAAACTTCGGAGATCAGTGACGCAGGCAGCCCCCGCTGGAAAGGACCTCGACTATTTGGACGAGCCTTTTGAGGCAGCAAGATTGTGCAAGTATCGTGCTCAACAAGTTGGTGGGCTCATGGGACTCATGGGTGATGTCTTTCTGCTCAGAGCTGCTGTACAGTCAACACTACTTATTCATCTCGAAAGCTCCGTTGCGTTGTTCCGCTGTTGCAGACAACCTCCGAAAGGCTTCCTTTCAAAACGAACGATTTTACATGGCAAGGCCAAACACAATTACAGACAGCAGGCATATCAGCAGCAAAAACCGATAACTACCGATACCGCTGCTCCTACTGCCGCCGCTGCCCGCTAGACCATAGCGTCCACGACCGTCGCCACGACACCAGCATCCACAACTACAATGACTACAACAACAGCAACAGTAATCGCGACAGCCACGAGCACCACCACCAACAGCAACAACACCATCACCAGCACCAACAGCAACACCAGCAGCAACAACACCAACGACATCACCAGTACGAACACCCACACCAACACCAAAGGCAACAGCACCAGCACCAGTAGCAGCAGCAGCAGCCGCAGCAACGGCAGCAGCAGCAGCAGCAGCAGCAGCATCAGAAGCAGCGGCAGCAGCAGCGGCAGCAGCAGCATTAGCAACAGCGACAGCGGGAGCAACGACATCAACAGCGTCAACTTCAACATCTGCCTCGAATCGGCGTTAACCGCAGCGGAAGCAGGTCGACTCCTTCTTCTGCAGTACCGGCGTAGCAAGCTTCTGCACAAGGCATGCAATCTGCCCATGCCTTCGTTGCTGGACCTGGGCAGGAGCAGGCTTCGGAGGAGTTGGAAGACAAGCCCCTCAAGCCCGCAGCAGGCCTGGGCAGCTGGTTCCGATCTAGATTATTGGCGTAGGTGTTCGTTCAGTTTTGCTTCTCGGATCACTCATGTTCATCACCGACTTGGGCTTGATTCTGGTAGACTGACGAGGCCTTGCAGCACCATTGCGCAACCAGCAGGGCATTGTATGATTTCAGTTGTCCCTTCATGAAAGGAACCCGCCAACA